TTGATACAGGAGAGCAGCATTCAAGCACCTCCTCTCACTTGACTCTGAATCAGAGCAGCCACTAGTGCTATGTCAACTCCCAGGTCACGGGTGCAGAAATGATGGCCCAGAAAACTTGCCCTCCCTCACAGCTCCACTTAGACAAATCAGAGCTCTAGTGAGCCTAAAGCTCCTGAAAGACAAAGACCAAGTCATTTGCTCCTTTGCATTCTCAGGGGCCTAGTGCAGTTCGTTGGGTGGCGGGGCGGTTAGGGAGGGAGTGATCCATAAATATTTGTAGGACAAATAAATAAGGAGTGAGAGAGAGGGGGGGAAAGAAGGAGGGAGAAAGGAAGAAGGAAGGAAGGAAGGAAGGAAGGAAGGAAGGAAGGAAGGAAGGAAGGAAGGAAGGAAGGAAGGAAGGAAGGAAGGAAGGAAGGAAAGAAGGGAGGAAGGGAGGGAGGGAGGGAGGGAGGGAGGGAGGGAGGGAAGGAAATTGAGCCTTCCCAGACAGGCTCCAAAGCCCCCATCTTGCTAAAATATTACTTCGAGCACAGCTGTTTAGGAAACAGCCAACCTGCCCTACCTATGTGCTGTTACCTCAAAATTGTGTTAATTCCTTCTCCCTTTTGTACCCACTCGTCCATCCCTAATTTCATTTTTTAATGCCGTTTTTACAACAAAGCAGACAAATGGTCAGCAATCATCTGATCTAAGAATATAATTTGTTGTCCAGCACTTATGATCAACTGTGTTAGTCTTCTTGAGCTGCTCTAATAAAATACAATAGACCAGGTGGCTTAAACAACAGAAATGTGTTTTCTCACAGTTCTCAAGGCTGAAAAGTCCAAGATCAAGGTGCCAGTGAATTCAGGTCCTGGTGAGGGCTCACTCCTGAGTTGCAGTCACCAACTTCTCACTATGTCCTCACGTGGCCTTTCCTCAGTGAATGCATGTGAGGCAAGCAAAAGATCTCTCTCTTCCTCTTATAAGACCACTAATCCCACCATGTGGGCCCAAACCGCATGATCTAATCTAACCATCATTACCTCCCAAAGATCCCATCTCCATTATCATCACATGGTAGAGGGGTTAGGGCCTCAATGTATGAATTTTGGGGAGGACATAAACAATATTTGTAGGACAAGGAAATAAGGAGTGTGGGGGGGAAGAGGGAGGGAGGGAGGGGGGATGGAAGGAAGGAAGGAAGGAAGGAAGGAAGGAAGGAAGGAAGGAAGGAAGGAAGGAAGGGAGGGAGGGAGGGAGATCTATAACACCCCATCTTTTAAATCTGGAGATCTCATTCATATTTGCAGCTTCTCCTGAAGAACAAGAACACTTGCCAGCCCTTCGCCTGTGTTATCACTTGGAATAAACTGGATGTGTCTAAATGGAACCTGTCTCCTTTGGGGAGCGCATGCCCCCGCCAGGTCACCATAGCCACCAAGACCACTTCACGTCTCCCATCCACCTGTTTCACTAATTTGTGCCTGGACCATTTTCAGTTTTCTGGATGACATGAGTGAGGAGGAGGAAACTCAGGTAAACGATAAAGTTTCGATGATCAGGATGGTGAGTTATCTTGTGTCTCTGTGCCTGTTGGCTTACTTTAAATGTAGTGTACATTTCAAAGTGGGAGCTAAGCAGGGAATTCCATAACACATGGAATCACATTATGGAAAATCATCAGAGGCCTTTCCTTGAGCTTTTGAGGTTTGTAGACTTGGGAAATTAGAGCCTTGGGGCATGTGATGATATGGAGGAACCAAAAGACCAGATTCTTTGATTAAGCTTCAGGCTCTTAGAATCTCCTGATTGCTCATCTCATACTAATTATCTGGAAGAAATATTAGAAGGCGAGTTAATGATACTTGCTGCTGACTGACTCTGGATTGGGAAGGAGCTGCCTGAAGTATCAGTGATTGGCTAAAGAAAAGAAATAATTATAGGCTGGCTGGATTACAAATTTAATCTCTATAGTATTTTCCCACAAGTAAATGAGATTCAATATGTAAAATATCAGGGAGGAAAAAACTATCACACACACTCATCTCTATGCACCTTAGAAAACTGGCTACTTTGGGACCCTCAGCTATGTGTTCCTTAGAGCTACATTCCAGAGGGTATTCCCCATACAGAGTATAACTCTCAAACAGGAGACACTTAGAAAGGGAAGCCCTTGAACCTACCTCACCAGGACTGAACGCCCGAGCAGGACCTCCACCATTCACGATTCAGTGAACACTAGGCACTTCCCTGGGCCGGCCACTTGTGCCAACACTAAGAATAGAGACAGGGAAGGGCCCACCTCTGGGCTTAGAGTATAGTTGGAAATGGGTCTTTCTTGGAAAGGAAAACAACAGAGAAGAAACTACATCCCTAACTTTGAAACTTCTGGGTGAACTTGGGATTTCCACACTGGGGAGCCTTGTCTTAGTGCGAGTTCCTCCAGCACAGCTTGCCTAGGCCTCCCACCCTTTGCCAACAGAGGACACCTGACCAGGTCTAGGGAGGCTCTGAGGCTTGGAGAGTGGCTGGCCTAGCGCCAAGCTGTCAAAGACAGGAAGCTGCCATCTGTACCCACTGCCCCCCACCTCTCTGCTTTTTTCCTTCAGGAATTCCCAACACTTTATGCCAGAACCACTGAGGGCATTTTTAAAAATATAGATTCCCCAACCTACCTCAGCCCTGCTAAATCAGAATCCTTGGATTGGGTGGAAACTGCTTTTTAAATAATCTTCTCAGAAAGTTAGAGAACCACTGGGTAGTAGAAAGACCATAGCCATCAGAGCCAGTTAAACCAAGATTTGAAATCCAGCACTGACACTTAATTAACATAATTAACCCTAGGGACCTGGGTTAATTACTTAACTTCTTTGTGACCCAGTTTCCTGTGCAGTAAAATAAAACAATGCCCAGCGTTGTTATGAACTTAGAATAGACTACACTAAACACTCATCACTGAGTTACTATGATAATCGCATCCCACCTCCACCAGTGCCTGTCCCCAGTGTTTTATAATCTGGTTAAATTTAAGTCAAATTTCTCCAGGATTGTTGTCCTAAGGGTATATTCCTATCTGCAGAAAGAAGAGATTTGTTCACTACTTTTTTAAATCCAGGAAATAGATTGTAAATAGAAATGATTCAGGGGATTGAGTTGGTTTTAGCTATGAGTGTGAGCTATGGGTACCCCTCCATGAAGAGTCAAAGTCAATTATAACCTGTCTAACTGGGAGCAAGAGACACAAAACTGATAAGAACTGTGGGAAAGGAGAGAGGTCGCCATTCTTTCTCTTTACATTTCTGTGATGAGCTACCTTTTATTGCATGATAAAAATGAGAAGAGCTATGGACTAGGAACCAGAAGACCCGGGTTCAAACCCCAGCCATGTGACTTTGGACAAGTCAATCCTGTCTGAACCTCAGTCTCTTTGTCCAAAAAATGAGAGATTGGAGTGCTAAAATCCTACTCCACTGACCAATGGGTTTCATATATTTTCAAAGTACAAAATATTCACCTAATAGCCACATAAATGAGGCAGGCACCAGATCATGAAGAAAAGGAAGACCTGCCAGGCTGCAAGCTCCCACTCTGGGAGTCTGGATGTAGGATATCTCACAGGAGTCTGATGTCAGGCAGTGTTTACCTTGAATTTGCCAACCCCCAAGCACTTTAGTGCTCACAAGAGTTGGCCTCAGCCCAAAGTCCCCAGTAGAAAGAGGAGTGAGCAGAGTGTCCACATGTCACCTGTCTCTGGATGCTCCAAGGGCAGGAGGGAGCCAGAAAATACTTAACCCCAAACGGGATAAAAATGAGATCCATCCAAGGCAGTAGACAAAAGGTAAAACTGCCCAACTGGTTTTCCAAGAAAGTTTGGAGAAGTTCATCAGAGGGTGTAACCCCTATCAACAGAGCCACATGAGAGTTGGCAGTGGTGCAGCCATGGTCTCTATCACCAGCTTCCCAGCAAAGGCACAGACACATTTTTATTTCTCTGTCAAGCCAACATGATTTTGTCAAGGTCAACAGCTGGATTACTCTTGGGTTGGGGTGCTCCTGCTTGAGTGCCACCTGGGGCAGGTGTAGCAATTAATGGGATACTTGGGGAAGGAAGGAATTGAGTATGAAAACCCTAAAGAAATGAACATTCTACTTCCTTAAGATTATACAGATCCTGGCATGGACTTCCTTAACTCTGCTTCCTCTCCACTTTCTAATGTAGTCACCTTTCTTCTGATCTTTCCTTCCATCTCCCCTGTCTTAGAAGACGTCATCCAACCTGACAGTTTTGCCTCATTGCCTCTGCATAGCCACACACCTCTCTCTTCTGGATTACCACAGAAAGACTAACTCTTCTTTCTGGACCTTCCTATTGGCTTATCTTCCTCTACATGTCCTTTAAATGTTGGCTTCCAAAAATCCAGCCTGAGCTCTTTGACCTCCTTTTTGCACATTTCCTCTTGGAACAATCTTTCCAAACCTATGGCCTCAGTCATCATCTTCATGCCACAGACTCTGAATTAATATCAGAGTTCCCAGATTCCATCTTAAGGTTCTGACTTAAGGTTGAGATCTCAACCATCCCTTTGGTCTCTCTAGTTAGCATAAAAGAAAATGGTCTGAGCTACAAGAAGGAAACCTACAGTAGGTTGCTTTTCAGAAGGGCTTTTCCCTAGGAGGCCAATGTGAGGACATTTTCCATTTCCCCATTCAAATCACTCCCCCATCCCCATCCCATAGCTACTGAAGCAGTACAGGAGTGGTTCAGAAACATTGGTACCTAGATTTGGATTTTACCTCCACACTTAGGCAACTTGCCCAACCTCTCCAAGTCTTAGTTTCATCATCCGTCTTGAGAGGTTGTAATAATACCTGCATTACTGAGTCATGATGAATATAAAATGAGATAACCCCTACAAAGTGCTTAGCACAGCGCTCAGCACTAAGAAAGAACTCAACAACGTTATCTATTATTATATGGCCATGATTATTATGCAAAACGGTGATTCACATTTGAACTTCTGCTATCTTAATAGGGAAAAAAGTTTTCATTTTCATTTCAATTCTTTCTAACTCCTTTAACCCTTTCCTGCCCCGTAGCTAAATCTAATCCAAACGGTAGGCACCAACTCCTAGGGCAGTTAGTGAAAGATGCTCATAGAGGGAAAAGGGCTTCAGTTCTTTTGAGTTTCTTTGCCTAATTATAAGTGTTTCCTATCAGCCAGGATGAGTTCACTCATGCCAAGTATCCTCTTACGCATAGTGAAGCTGAGAGGAAAGACACATGCCTGAATTCAAACTGCAATGAGAAAAAGAGATGGACATCACGCAGAATCAGGGAAACAAGGTGCCAAGTACAGGAAGCATGGGTTTTGGATAAGAATTTACATTTGCCAAATTTGTTCTGCTCTCAAGTTCCATCTTCTGCTCTTAAATTAAAATGTCCTTCTTTTCACTTTCAATCAAAATGGGTGGGACTGAGCAAGTTTGAACTCCCACAAGAGACAAGTGACAGGAAAGATGAATTCTTGACCAATTGGAATAATTCTGTTACTTACACCTTTTCCCCTGGGACGTGGGGGGGAAACACTAACAGTCTTCTCAGAGCTTCATTCTGTGTGGCTTTCCCGATGCTGCGTGTTTGTTTGCACTCATCACGGTGAGGCATATACTTTCCTCCCTGCTGAAGTCCCAGCTTTCATTTTTCTTTAGCAAGCAACACTTAGTTCGCTGCAGCCTGCTGATTACAAGGGTGCACAGACCCAGATGAATCATAGAAGCAGGCAGATGGCACAAACACAAATCCTCTGCATTGTGTCTTACGCCCACACTAACCTTCTCATGTGGCCTCTCTTCCCAGCATCCCTTTCCTTCATTACCTCATCCATACCCAAAGGACAATTAGTGCATTCAGGCACTAGAGACAGCTAACTGTACAAGGGAGAGTACAGCAAACAACCTCCTGGTTCCTGGAATCTAGACACAACACAAAGGCAAAAGAATTGAAAACAGTCATCGTATCTGCGGCAAGTGCTGCAGGGTGCCATCCAGATCTCTCATCAGGTCCTAAGTATTAATCCCCCAGCTGCCAGGAGTGTTGACTTCTGGTGGCTCAGCTGAGTTCCTTTTTAAGTTATGTCCATAGGCTAGGGGGGCCACCTTTCCCAATGACACCTCGCTCCCAAAGACAGACAGTATCCAATGCAATACCTGGTCAATGTGTATGTGTTGGGTGGGTTTGGTGGGGGATAGGGGTGAAGTCAAAGCTGATCTTTCTGCTTCATTTCAGAACAACTCTGAAAGGCCATCCCAGGTCCAAAGCTCCCCATAAGATTGGCAGGGGCTTTTATTTGGACTGCATCAACATTTGACTTCTCCTTCTGCCCTGTCCTTCTCCTATCACTCCCCAAAAGAATATTCTGTGTACAAATCTCCATCTCAGAACCTATTTGTCATTGAACTTCACCTAAAACAGGAACTCTGACAAATGAATGCATCAAAGTTCTAGGAAACTAGTATTCCAGAAACGTCCACCAAGACTTGAAGCACTTCTTAAGATTCATGGAAAGTTATGGGGTAGTCTGTGGTGTTACAGAGCCAGCCAAATTGGCCCCACAGTCAGATGGATGCACAAGTTAGGCTCTGGGGAATGACAGGACCTGGGACTGAAGCCAAGATGCCTTGGGCTCTGTCCCAGCATTTCTTCTGTGTGCCCTTACGCAGGGTTTTTAGAGCAGTGCTTCTCAAATGAGCAGTGTTGGAGGACCATTTTCATTTTCAATATATCACAAACCAATTTATTGTCAAGTACACTAAAATAAATTACAACTCCACACTCCTTAAGTGTGGCCTACACATACTAACTTCCTTCAAAAGGGCATAGTATGAAAGTAAGGACAGGGAAGAAGATAACTTTACAGTAAAGAAAACTGGCAAAGACTGCCTCTGTCAGATGACCAAGGTCAACATCAACAACAGTGATAAGTCGTGTGTATAGTATGTAGCCTTGATATGATGTGGTGGAAATGGCACTTCAGCTCTCTGGTGTTCCTCCCCCAAACCCATAAGCCCAGTTTAATCATGAGAAAGGCAAATCCCAATTGAAGGACATCCTACAAAACACCTGCCTAATAATCTTCAAATCTTTCAAAGTCATGGAAACCAAGAAAAGTCTGAGAAATTGTCATAATCAAGAAGAGACCTGATGATCAGTGGTAATATGGTATCGCTGGATAGGATTCTGAAAGAGAAAAAGGACATTAGGTTAAAAACTAAGAATATCTGAATAAAGTATGAATTTCAATGAATCATAATGTATCAGTATTGGTTCACTAATTGTAACTAACATAATATATTAATTTTACTATCTTACACTATCTATAAGATAGTGTGGACTATGTGGGAACTCTCTGTACTATCTTCTCAATGTTTCTGTAAATCTAAAACTGTTCCCAAAATAGTTTATTATTAAAAATAAAACAAATGACAACATACCTGGACTTTTAAAGACATAGGAAATATAGGCCTAGATGACTTAAAATTTCTCTGTCAAATTACCTTAAAAGTTTTTAAAAACCATATTCCAACCACCAGGAGTAAGTGGTTCTCAGACTGGCTTCAATCTGTTGACTATCTTTGAGGAACTCTCAATTTGACTCTAGGGTTCAGTTTCCTCATCAGTAAAATGGGATCATAGGGCTACGGGATCACAGTCCCCTCTGGATAGCCTCTGGATAGCCTCTGAAGTGCTGTGCTGAGTGATCGATCACCTTCTGCCAAAGCAGCAGGTGCTCAGAACCAGATGCCTAGAATCAAGCCCCCCTCCATGATGATGACATGAGGTCCACACTATCCAGCATTATGAACAGCTGTCCTCTCCCTATACCTCTTGAACTCCAGTAATACAAAGTCTCTGGCCCTTTTTTGTTATTGTTGTTCCAGTACAGAACTAGAAACGAGGGAAAACATAAAAATAATGCTATGTGTTCAGGCTGTCACATATGGTCCCCAAGCCAGGGTGCTGAGTGTTCTTTTTCTCTCTCTCATTTGGAACCCCAGAAACCCAAGAGAAGACTCTGGTGCCGGGAAACTGATGGAGTTGCAACCCAGCTGTGGGCCAGGAACCAGACCGCTGTCTGCAGACCATGATTTGTCATAGTACAGACAGGACACAGTATGAAAGAAGACACATCACATATGGGAAGCTGATAAAATAATTAGAAGACAAACCTTCCAACGAGCAAGAAAGAAAAAAATGGCAGTTGAAAACCAGATGGTGGCAACCTGTCCCATTGAATAGGTTTTTGAGATGTGACTGGTAGGTTTTAAAACAACCAAAGGAGATAATTATACATCTGAGATGGCCAGAGATCATTCAGTTTCTTGTGGATCTTGGAAAGCCAAGAGGTGAAGTCCACAACTAAAGCCCCAAGAAACAGGATACACACAGAGCAAAGGCCAACAGGGAATTGGAATGAAGAACACTGGTCATCACTGATGACCAACATGGTGAAACCCCATCTCTACTAAAAATACAAAAATTAGCCAGGCATGGTGGTGCACACCTGCAATCCCAGCTACTCAGGAGGCTGAGGCAAGGGAATCACTTGAACCCGGGAGGCAGAGGTTGTAGTGAGTTGAGATGGCACCACTGCACTCCAACCTGGGCAACAGAGCAAGACTCCATCTCAAAATAAATAAATAAATAAATATTGAAACTGTTATTCCATGTGCCATTCATATGTTATCTCCTACTAATTACATATTATTTCCTGTCACTTAAACTTCTACTACAAAACTCTGTGGTCCATCTCCTAGCAAAAGAGTCAGTCTATGTATTTGACCCATATTTTAGAAATTCTTAGAGATGGAATGTTTCAGCAAGGGTAATATTTCATAAGAGTAACATATTGACATAACAGGGACATACTGGCATAAAAGTAGCACATTGGCAATGCCATGTTACTTGTTTTAATAAATAATCTCAGAATCTCAGTGACTTAACCCATAAAGTATGGTTCTGAACAGGTCAGCAACAGGGGCTCTGCTCCAGGTGGACTTTGAGGAAGCAGCCTTCTCCCATGCTGTGGTTCCTCCATTTGAAACACAAACCAGCAGAAATGAGTAGGGAGAGCAGAGAAAGGAGAAAGCCCACCCACTCTTACCTGCCTTGGACTAGAAATGACGCACTGCTTTGGTCACATTGCATTGGCAAGAACTAGTCACATGACCTCACCAGACACAAGAAGGCTGGGAAATAGTTTGATTCTGTGCCCAGGAAGAAGAAATAGGTTTGATGAGTACTAAGATGATTGCCAGGAGTAATCATAAGAGGCACTCTCAGAAAGCTGCCCAAACATGTTGGTCTTCAGTAGTTTCACATGGCTCACAGAATGAAATGCTCACAAAACATGGGCACTGTCTAGACAACTTTCTTATTAGCACTTGAGTCAGTGCCCCACCTGTTAGCACTTATTCACAGGATTAAAAGTGTGGGTTCTGGAGTTTGACTGCCTTTACTCAAATCTGGCTTCTGCTTCTTGCCTCCTATGTAACCACTCTGGGATAAATTAAACCTCCTCTTTGCAACTTGGTTTTCTCCTTTTTACTTAGATATTGGTACAAAGGATAAGGATATTGTTACTTGTTTCAGAGGGCTGTGAAGTTTAAATGAGATAATTCTCATAAAACACTTCCCATAGTGCCCAATGCATAATAATTTCTTAACATTTGTTAAATACTTGTTACATACCAGGGAGTACCATAAGTGCTTTACATTCATAAACTAACTTAATGCTCACAAGAACCCACAGAAGTCGGAACAGTTTTCTCCATTTTAGACGTGGAAAAACAGGCCCAGAAGAGTTAACCAGTTCAAAGTGATACAACCAGTGAATAGAAGAAAAAAAACAGTAATCCAGGCATCCTGGTTTCAAAGCTAAATTGATTTACCCTATCATCACCTGCCTTTCAATAAATATCCCCTATTTATTGCTATTAGCACCTTTATTGAGGTGTAAATGATATAAAGTAATGTACTTATACTTAAAATGTACAATCTGATAAGTCTGACATTATACATATACCTGTAAAACTGTCGCCACAATCAAGATTATGAACATATTCATCATCCCAAGATGTTTTTCTAGCCCCTTTGAAATCCTTTTTCTCCACTACTCTCCACTCCCCCTATCCCCAGACAACTATTATCTGCTTTCTGTCACTATAAATGTCTGAATTTTCTAGATTTGTGTATAAATAGAATCATGCAGTATGTCATTTTTATCTGCTTCTATCAGTGTAATTACACTGAATTTCACTCATGTTGCACGTGCTAATAGTTCATTTATTTTCATTGGTAAGTATCCCATTGTATAGCTATACCACAGTTTGTTTATCCATTCATCTACTGATAGACACTGATGGACACTTGGGTTGTTTCTAGTTTTGGACTATTATAATAAAGCTTCTATGAATAATCATGTTCAAGTCCTTGTATAGACATACACTTCGATTACTCTTCAGTAAATACCTGTAAAATGACTGGGTTATTTGCTATCTATATGTTTAGCTTTTAAAGAAACTAGCTATTTTCTAGAATGATTGTACCATTTTACACATCCATCAGCAGTACATGAGAGTTCCAGTTGCTACCCACCCTCAACTTGCCGTGGTCAGTCTTTATTCTAACAGATGTGTAGTGTTATATCAGTGTGGTTTTAATCTGCCCCTAAGGAATAATGATATTGAACATTTTTCATGCATTTATCTGCCATCCATATGTCCTTTCTGGTAAAGTACGTATTCAAATATTTTGCCCTATTTTACTGGTTTATTTGTTCTCTTATTACTGTGTTATGGGAATTCTTTGTATATTCTGTATGCAATTCTCTTATTAGATATGTGATTTGAAAATATTTTCTTCCAATAGGTAGCTACTCTTCATTTTCTTAAGTTTCTTGCAAAGAGTAGAGGCTTTTAATTTGAATGAAGTCCAATTTATATTTTTTTCTTTTATGGTTTATTCTTTTGGTATGGGATTTATAAAAACTTTTCCTAATACCGTGTCACAAAGATGTTCTCTTCTATTTCCTTCTAGAAATTTTACATTTCTAGATCTTGAAAGTAGGCCTATGATCTCTTTTGGATTTGGATATGTTGCAAGGTTTGAATCAAAGGAGTTTTCTGCCTTTTTTTTCCTGTTTTTATGAATGGATGATCAATTGTTAAGAAGTCTATGCTTTCTCTATTGAAGTGCCTTTAAACCTTTATAAAAGTCAATTGACCAGATACATGAGATTTATGTTTCCATTTTATCTACTTATATATTGTCCATCTTGATACCATTACCACACTACCTTGATCACAATAGTTTTATGTCTCAAAATTAGGTAGCATGAGTCCCCCAACTTTGTTATTTTTCAAAATTATCTTGGCTATTCTAAGTCCTTTGTATTTCTATGTAAATTTTAGAATCATCTTATCAAATTCTACCAAAAAAAAAAAAGCCTTCAGAGATTTTCACTGGGAATGCTTTGAATTTATACATCAGTTTGGGGACAATTAAGAATATTGATTCTTCCATTCCAAGAATTCAGCATATTGTTCCACTTATTTATATCTTCTTTAGTTTTTCTTAGCAATGTTAAGTAGTTTACAACAGGGATCCCCAGTCCCTGGGCCATGTGGACCAATACTGGTTCATGGTCTGTTAGGAGCCAAGCCGCACAGCAGGAGGTGAGTGGTGGGCGAGCAAGGGAAGCTTCATCATATTTACAGCTGTTCCCCACTGCTCACATTACAGCCTGAGCTCCGCCTCCCGTCAGCGGAGCGGCATTAGTGCAGCGGCATTAGAGCCTCACAAGAGTGCAAATCCTATTGTGCACTGCACATGGGAGGAGTCTAGGTTGCATGCTCCATATGAGAATCTAATGCCTGATGATCTTTCACTGTCTCCCATCAACCCCATATGGAACTGTCTAGTTGTAGGAAAACAAGCTCAGGGCTTCCACTGATTCTACATTATGGTGAGTTGTAAAATTATTTCATTACATATTACAATGTAATAATAATAGAAATCAAGTGCGACATGAATAGAATGTGCTTGAATCATCCTGAAACCATCCTTCGACTGCCCCTGGTCTGTGGAAAAAATTGTCTTTCACAAAACCTATCCTTGGTGCCAAAATGATTGGGGACTGCTGGTTTACAATATACAGATACTGCGATTATTTTTAACAACTTCTTTCATATCCGTATTATTTCTCTATACAGATTATATCTAAAAGTAGCAGGTCACTAATACTTCTCTTGTGTCTTCACTGGGCCTCCATTTCCTCATCTGTGAAGACAGAATAAAAACAACTGCTGCCAAAGTTGGGCACAAAACTGCATGTGTAAGGCACCTAACATCTGTGCCTATTGCACAATGCTGCTGGTCTGATTACAGAGTTAATAAGTTTTGTTTAATAAAAGGATGAAAAGGGAAATAGAGGAGTCATAAGGATGAGGAAACAAAGTGTGGGTTCAAGGCAAGAGGCATCCAATCTGACAAGACTGAGCCTAAAAAGGAAAAAAAAAAAGAAAAATAAGAAACAACAATGACCACAGTGGCATTAATTGCTCAGAAATTAACCCCAAGACTCAGATAACCAAATGAGGTGGCGTGGTAGAAGAAGTTGTAATGCACCTGGCTAGACAAAGAATACATAGGAAGAATCTGTTGTGTGCACATACATTAAGAAATTAACAGGTGATGTTCCAGTTATAGGAATGGGAGCAACCAACAGAAATTTAGCCAGAAAAGGAGCTTGAATATGTAGCACTGAATACCCTCTGCATATCTGGGTAGTCTGTAACCTTGTCCATGTCCAGATAAGCATTAAATAAAGCTGACTTGTGATGCTTCTTAACCTCTATTCATCTGCTGATACAAGGGAGTCCATAACCCATCAGGAAAGGGGGCTCTACCCACTTGGAGTGGGCACTGATAACAAAACACCCAGCAAAATGCTAAGTGACTTACAATACACTCTTAGTTGACCAACTGTGAAAACATTTATAATCAGGGTTCTGAAATTTTATTGATTGGCAGGTGTGTAGAGAATAGATTTATTAGTCAAGGTAATTAGCACTTGCTACCACAACAAGCAAACCAGGAATCTCCGAGGCTTAGCAGGATAAAGGTTACTTTGACAGGACATAAAGTTGCTGTTTGTTGGACAGTGCTCCTGCAGTTCACAGCTATAGCATCTGGAACACATGGCCTCCAAGGTTGCCATACCCGAAAAAGAGAGCCACAGAGGAACCACATTGGCTCTTCACTGCCTCAACTCAGAAGATCTGCTCATACCCATTGGCCAGAACAAATCACACGGCCCTGAACTAACTGCTAGGGAGACTGGGGCATATAAAAATGCACACCATAAGCATTAACTATCTCTCCTACAGAAAGAACTAGGTTCTTTCCCCCACTCCACTCCATTTTTCTTCTGCAGAAGTGGTAGGGAGCAAACGGATAAGCTGTTCAAGCAAAGAGTCTGCTTTGAGGTGTGTTACATGGCCAGGGGTGAAAAAAATATGAAAATCTGGCCATGGTGATGGAGACAGCTCAGTATTTATGGAAGGAATTTTGGAGCACTGCTCTCAATGACAGCGTTCCTGTACCCAAATCTTTACACCCAAAAAGCTCTGAATATGTTCCAATGTACTGAACATGGAACCAATGGGTGGAAATGGGAAGGATTACACTTGTCATCACTCCCAGTAACCCATTGGGGGATTTTTGTCCTTCCTGCCCCCATAATTCTGGGTTCTGCAGGCTTTGACCCTAGAAGGGCACATTTTTGCCAGAGGATCATTGAGCTATAATTTATGATTGTTGACAAGGCATGTTGGACTCCTAGTGTCCAGGAATCAGCAGTCAAAAAGGGTAGTCAACATATCGTCTTATTATATGTCTGCAGGATCTGTAGTTATATCCCCTTTTTCATTCCTGATATTGATCATTTCTGTTCTTTTTCTCTTGATCAGTCTAGCTATGGTTCTATCAATTTTCTTGATCTTTTAAAGAATCAACTTTATTCCTATCTGTGTCTTTATACTTAAACTGCATCTCTTATAACCAGCATAGTTCTTCTAATGTTGTTTTCTATTTTGTTGATATCTGTTCTTACCTTAATTAGTTCTACTCTTTTACTGCATTGGGATTTAACTTATTCTAATCTTTTCAGCTTTTTAAGGTAGCCTTAGGTATTAATGTAGACTTTTCTTCTTTTCTAATACAAACACACAAAAATATACATGTTCCTTTAATTACTGTAGTAACAGTTGCTTTAAAACCTACATCTATGAATTCTAATATCTAAGTCATCTCAAGATTGATCTTCATTGATTATATTTTCTCTTGAGAATAGGTCAGGAATCTGGTTCCTGCTCTTTGTATGTTGGGTAATTCTGGATGGTTTCCTGGACATTGGGAATGTTTTGTTACGGAGATTCTGCATTTCTGTTATACTTCTCCCAACGAGTGTGATTTTTTGTTTTGGCAAAACTGCAAACTCTGTCTTTTGGGCAGTAGCTCTTATCTCAGTTAGGTCATTGACCTTTTACCGAGCTTCTTGCAGTGTGCCATATGCACACAAAGTTTGGGACTCAGCCAGAAAGTTGGGCACCTGATGCATGGGATTTGGGGATCCCCTCTCTGGCCCTCTTCTTTTAGAGGTTTTCTCTCACTTTCTCCTGGCTCTGGCTGCTCTCAACTCTTTCTTCTAGTTCATCAGGCCAGAAAGACTATGGGCTAAGAGCTATCTGCTCTTAAGCTAAAAACCATAAATAGGGGAAGACACACCTTGTCTTACCCTTTGACACATGTGCCAACTAACCCCCATAATCTGCTTACAGTTACTCACTTTCCGATGTCTTCAGATAGTTGTTCTTTGTATTGTTTATCTGTGGTCAGTCTGGTAGCAATTCAGCCATCCCAGGAGTGAAAATAAGTACGCATATTTTAAAGTAACAATTAGGTGTAAGACACTTAAGTGTGTGAGTTAACTTTTTGTGTTCATTTTTCCACAATGAGAAAACTTAGAGGAGCAAAAGAACACAAGACAGCTTGGAAGTGGAGAATGAAAGTTTCTGGAAGTTGAGAAAACACAGAAAAGGAGGTAGAGGCACCACGACAGCATAATTATGGGTTGAGTTGATTCTCAGTCCAATCTGGCGAGAGTGATGAAGGTTACTGGTAAACACGTGGAGAGCCACATGCTGTGCTCCATACCTGCTGTTTGTCCCTCAGCCCCACTCTCCACTCTCCACCTGCTGTCTGCCCTGGAGGCCAATCTATATGAAAACGGAGTCAAGGGTTCCCTTTTCCTCAGGCTTCCATTTGCATTCAACCAGCAGAGAATACCTGCAGGAGATTAAAGGGAGGGAGGAAAGTAAGGTCAGGATATTTTTTCCCCAACATCTCTCCCTGGTAGGTTTCTGTGAGTTGATTGCATTCCTCTACCAAAGGCCGCAGTTGCTGTCAGGCAGTCCTCTCCAAAACCTCTCTAGGTGCTGGTAAACACTCCTTTCCTTCCACCCTTCTGGCTTGGTGTTGGTAATGGCCCTCTACTGGGGCTCTGCAACATCCCTTGTTGCTTTTCCTAAATCCTGTGCACACTTTTGTAAACAGTTCCTTTATTAAACTCTTCCCAGCATGAGTGCACCATCTGTTTCCTGCCAGGATCCTGATGGATAGAGCACGCTCAGAAAAATAACTTTAACAGGGCCTTAGAAACAGGATGGTAAAATATCAGCCCACTGTCAAGGAGGGGAGAACACATTAAATACCTCCAAAATAATAACTCATAAGCTTTATTCACATGTATTGTCTAATTTAATGCATTTAACAACACTCAGATTACATAGGTAATGATATCATTTCCACTTAAAGTTGAGAAAATTGAGACTCTAAAGCAGGTGGGCCACTGGGATTCCCTGACCTTCTTTAGGCTATAAATCCTCTTACCTTCCTACTACCCCTAACCCATTTCATTCAGACAACACACACCACCAATGCTGAAATGCAGAGCTCTCCACCTTCTGGGGCAGCCAGGACATTTTTAAAGTCCTTGAAGCCCAGGAAGGGTGTGGTCATCCCAAGTTTGCTCTGCTTCTGTTAAAGTCCAAATGCTAGAAAAATAGTTCATGGTCAATTCAGCCAGTTTGTTCAGAGACCTGAGTGTATTGTTCAGAGACCCCTCTTGCATTTATTTTAAAGAAACTATTTTTTAAAACTACAATACAATATGGGAGTTGTAGTGTGTACAGCTCACTGAAGTATTCCTTAAACATCACTCCAGGGCTCCACAGGAGTTCCCAAGCTTCAGGGTATGAAACCAATGATAAAGAATTTAAGTCAGCAGAATAGATCAAGACCTCAGGCTCTGGGAATGGGCAGATCTGAGTTCCTTTACAACATTTGCTAGAAGCCATATTCTAGGCAAGCTGCATAATTTTTTCTAATCTTAAGTTTTCTCATCTGTAAAATAGAGATAATAATAATACCTACATCATAATGTTAAATAAATTAAATAAACTCAGGCATTTTAAGTGCTTAATACAGAGCCTGGCTCACTATAATCACTCAATAAAATAGAGCCAACATTAATACTCAGATTCAAATTCACAGCAAAGGCTCATCTTAATATAGCATGTAAATATTAAAAGAAAAATGTCTTTAAATCCTTTTAGACACATATTAAAGCTTTCCAATTGGGAATTTACAAATAAATTAAAAAAAAAAACTAAGCCTTAAGAGTATCCAACATTGCTCCCATTTCCATTTCAATAAAAGACTCCATAAGTTGCTGGTCCTCTAAATAAGCCTTGTCATTTCCTTAAGTAAACTTTCTGTACCACTGGGTATAAAATGTAACAGAAAGCTATGTGCTCAATTTATTTTATAGTTTCTTACTTATTGTTTTCCATTTCCTGTTTCAAAGCTGTAAACGTTCCTTAAACTGCAGCTAAAATTATTATTGTCATTGAATTACCTAATTTCTTAGTGTAGAGTCTGGATTGGAGGGCACTCCATCCCCCAGTGAGCTACAAACAGGCATGTTGCTAAGCAAGAGCTGTGCAGTTTACTCCTGCATGTGGTTCTGACTGTGCCATTTGATGCAGGTGGGTTCTTTCTGCAAATTGCTCATTAGAAAATCTGGATCCCAATTTTAACCATTGACATTATTCTAGAAATACTTAAGGATTGATTGATCCACCAGAAATGGGAACATTTTGACCATATTTGGTCATCTTCCACAGGGAGACCAGAGTTCCCCCTTGTAAAGGCTTTCAATCTATTAAATATTTTATCCCCAAATTCTAGTGAGTCTTTGGAAAAACCTCCAATCTATCCTTCCCTCTTCGGTCAAGGCCAGGATCATAGAGCCCTGCCCTCTAAGGTTAGCCCATAGAAAGCTCAGGGAAGCACACTCCTCAGACATCAGTGTCCAGGTGCAAGCAAGACCTTCTGGGGACATCATTCTGTGGAGCTGGATGCAAGGCCAACATCTAATCTGTTCCAAGAATCAGAACCTAGTTAATGTCTCCTCTAGAAATGACCATAAAGTTAATGCCATAATCAAATATTTGGTTTTTCTGTTTATTGATTTGTTTTGTGCCTCCTTCATAATCAATCTCTATTCTGAAAAATGAGAAATGAACTACAGCTATTGGCATTTTCTGCAGATGGTCTCCCAGATGGACAGCAAGGTCCCCAACATAAGACTCTATACACTTATGATAATTTTTATCAGCCATAAACAGACATAATCTCAACCACAATGACTTTAGGCATCCTAAGGCTTCAATCAAATAAGTTTAGATGTCTTTGGTGGAAGAGAAGTATTCAATTTTTATTTAAAACGTCACCAGAACTTCAATGACTCTGAAAACCAATCTTTCATCTTTCCTTAATAGTACCACTGCCTGATCAGACAGGATTCCTGCTATTCTTGGTATAAAGGTTACTAAACTGTTAGACAAAATGTCTTCAATGAAAAACAGGTTTCAGTTTTCAGTAACCCAAAATAGCATATCACCGTGGCCACTGTGATCTTAGGTAGATCCACCACGGGTGAGGGAATCACTAAAAAAATGGGAGTTACAGAGCGGTGTGGCCTCAAGCCCCGTGAGCCACCAAGACTTGATGCCAGAAAGTCTGGATGTCATACAAAGTAGCTGGAAAGCAGGCTACCTGTTGCATGGTGGTGAATTGATGGCATCATCAGGCATTCTGCCCTCCCCACCACAATCTAAATATCAGCAGATGGAATAAACTCGGCGCCAGTGCTGAAGTGGCTCCAACTGTCTCCATCATCAGACACGCCCCCTGGCCCTGGCCACTGGGAGGTGCCCCAGGGAGAGCAGGTGGGGCTTCTGCCCTAAATACAAGAGGCCCTTTCAGCTTCTACTCTAAGCTGCTTTTAAACCACCACTGGAGATGGGAAAAATCAAAACTTCACAGCAATGATAAGAGCACTGACAAGAAGCAGATTTCCTGAGTCTTGAAAGGAAGGGGCATTGGAAGATAATGTTTCTCTCACTGCCCCGCCTGTGTTTTCTTAGGCCTAGCTAAATCCAAGGCGGTCTCTCCCAGGCCTAGGCTGTCCGGAGGACCGCGCACAGGCAGCTGCCGAGGGAACAAGGGAACTTGCTGCCCAAAATGTGTAGCTGTGAGTCCAAGAAAAGGACACAGAACCCTCAGGAAGAAGGTGTGTAATATTTTTGTTGAATCAAATCGTGATTTTGTAAGGGGAAAAAAGACACACATAAAAGGCCATTTAGCGTTTGGCAAAAAGGGGCAAAAAAGAGCTTTCCATGTTCAGTACAAACTCACTTCAAGGGAGCTGTAGATCAAATTACCAGCCTGTGACATGTGGAGATTGGCTGAGCAGCAGGCTGACGGTAACTCAAATTCCAAAGCTTCTGGACTGTTCCCGAGCCCATAAACTACACAGAAAATGATCCTGTTTGCTGAATTATTTTCAGTTGCAACAGCTGCTATAACAACTCAGAGAATTTTAATAAGTATATACAGGGCTGGTGAGTAACCACTTCAAATATTCTACAATGGGGTCCCATCTTCCCTTTCAATCCTTTTAGGTGGAGGTGCTAGAGCTGCTGTGAGGGGCCTAGAAAAATGAATGGGCTTGGGTGCATATTCAGGGGTTCATACAAGAAGTAGAATTAGAACTGGAATTCCAAGGGGAAGATCCACAGGAGGAAAAGAAATGTATATTTTCACAATAAACATATACATATGCATGACTTTTATAATTCAAAAAGTGAATTTTTTAAAAATCTGGATAAACCCCATATATCATCATGATGAAGAAAGTATTGGATAAAAAAGATTCTGAAATGAATTTGAATTTAACAAGTGAGTTTGCAATTTAATTTACTAAGAGGTGAGTGTATGAGTGGCATTACAGAGACTACAGACAAGGTTTGGTTGGCACCTGTGTTTATGGACCCCTTGTAATAAATCAAGGGAATATGGGGATGAGGCCCAGGTTGTACTGGAGCAGGGACTGCAATTGCCAGACAGTCCAGGTAAGGACTTATTTATTCATTTGGGCTGGCACAGGGCTTTAAAGCATTGGAATCTGAATGTCTTTAAATGTCCCTTCATTGTGACAGCAACCGCCGCATGTCTTTTTTCTACATCCCGGATTGGCACATCCACAGGCATGGTCCCTAAGGCATTTGAGTTTCCAACACCTGCTGTCCAACCCCATCACTTCCATTTCTGATCAGGAAGTCAAATGCCAGGATATCAGTGAGTGAGAAAGGAGAAAACTGTGTTGGAAAGCAAATGAAACAAATTAACAGCATAACAAAATTGATAAGCACCATTCTAGCGGTCTATCAGTTTGTGGGGGCTGCCCTTAACAAAGTATCACAACCGGGTGACTTAAACAACAGAAATGTATTTTCTCGCAATTCTGAAGGCTGAAAGTCCAAGGTCAAGGTGTTGACTGGCAGGGTTGGTTTCCTCTGAGCCCCTCTCCTTGGCTTGCAGATGATCGACTTCTCCACATGTCTTCACATGGTCTTTCCTTTATGCGTGCATATCTGTGTCCTCATCTCCTCTTCCTGTAAGGACTTCAGTCATATTGGATTAGGGCCCACCCATATGACCTCCTTTTCCCTTCATTACCTTTCTAAAGGCCCTATCTCTAAATACAGTCACATTCTGAGGTATTGGGGGATAGGACTTCAACATACAAATGGTCGGTAGGTTACTATTCAAAGAAGAAAAAGTTGTCTATACTCTCTCTCTCTCTGTCTATATATATATATATACACACACACACACACACATATATATAGTCTATATTGGCCCACAAAAACGTTCCCCCTATAAAACCTTCTTTAGCCTTTAGCCAAACCAACCCATAATAAATCATAATACAGAGATTCACAAACTCTTCCACTTATACTCCTGGGAGTCTTAGAGGATGTCTCAAAACAGCCTTCAATAGGCATAAAATTCCTTTGGCATCTCTATTTTGCAGGCTATTCCAAAATATACCCATGTTTATTTTAATATAAAAGTAACTTCCCTCAAGTCTACTCACACTTCAGGAAATTGCACTATGTTCTGCCTGTGGCTTTGTGTTCTCTTTGACAAACCATATCTAGGCCTAGGGGTAACCACTAAGCCTCACTCCCCTCTCTGCAGCAGGGGTGGAGAGAGGGGATCTCCTGTTGTCTTCCTGCCTCAGAGTCACACCCATCCTGGGCCACTAGAAATTTCTCCTACAGATCTCCTGCCATTGCACTTGGCATTTCTGCTACTGTTGTTGTTTTCATGAGAATTTCAATGGCAAGATGAAAAAGGGCAAATCTCTCCATTTTAGATTATCACGTCATTTATGAGAGGACTATGAGTTTAATGTTAATATGACTTTTTTTGGGAACCAACAGTGAAGGTATGAGGTATCTGATAAGGGGGCCAGGCAGATGACCAGAGAGAATACAAGCTCTGCAACTTCAATCTCATCATCTTGGCCAATATATACAGGCTGCTCCTTTCCCCAGCCAGCATCCAGGACCAGAGACATTACCTGGTTTTACAAAATAGTAAACACATAAATGTTATAAAGGAGTAAAAAATAAAAATATAAAATAAGAACTAAAAAGTTACAACAAAAATATAGAAAAACAGATAGTAACATAAATAATACTCAAGACAAGACCAAAAATTGAAAAACAGGTAATAACGATAAAAATTGTTTTGTTTTTGTGTTTTTGTTTCTATTTTCTAACTTTTACCATGAAAATATTCAAACCAACAAAAAAGTTGCATAGTGAAATCAATGCCTATATATCTTGCATTTCAATTCAATAATCGTTAATATTTTGCCTCATTTACTTTGTCCATCTCTCTCATGAATGGCCTAAGGATAAGGATATTCTCCTACATAACCCTGATACCATTACCACACCTAAGAAAGTGAACAATTATTCCAGTTCATATTCAAATCTCCACAGTTGTCCTAAGAATATCTTTGCTTGCTGTGTTTTGTTTTGTTTTTGAGCCAGTA